TTTTAATACTTCCGGGATCATTTAACGTTCAAAAGGCAGCACGGGGTGACAAAGCAAAATATTACAATGAAATGTGCAAGGAGTTGGAGTCGGAAAATCAAAAGGGCCGAACTCGCTCAGCATATCTTAAGCTCAAGAACTTATACAGCATATCTTGTTTTATATAATTACTATTTCCCCTCCTTCTTTCATTCCCCCTTTTTTACCGTCCACTTTTCCTTCTGAACAATTATGAACGTCCCATACCTGTTTGCTAATTGCAATGGCCATATTGTCCTTTGATAAATTCTTCCAAGGTTATTCTTCCCTTGTCTAGATCCTTTACAGCATTTATTGTCTGTGCATTATATTTCTACTCTCCTAATCCCCCAAGCTCCCTAGTTACCCTTTCCTTTTCACAGTAATAGACTTTTGCAATATTTGTCCTTTTGTGATTTAATTCTTTCACTTAGCATAATGTTTTCTAGCCTCACTCACTTTTCATAATATTTTATGGTTTGGCTGTTCCTTTGAACTACATAATATTTGATTGTGTGAATGTATTACAATTTCTCTATCAATTTATTTGTTGATTGGTAATGTTTCCATTTTCTCAGTATAATGAATAATTCTTGAGTGAACATAGGTGTACATATTTCTACTTGGGCTTCAGCTCTAATTTCCCTGGGGCATAGTCTTAGTAGTGGAATAGCTGAGTCATATGGGATTTCTACATTTACCTTTTGAAAAATGTCAATGTACCTTCTACTATCATTGTACCATTTTACAGTCCCACCAACAATAATGAGAGTTGTAATCTCTCCACATACTCACCAGCATTTTCTTTTTGTCATGCTGTTGAACTTGCTATTGTTGCTTGGATGATATGACATCTCATTGGTGTTTTGATTTGCACCTTTCTGATTGTTAGTGATTTTTTACAACTCCATATTTGTTTGCTATAGGAACAAATTTAGAAGCCCTATTATATGGTACAAAAAAGCTTGCAAAATGCAAAACATAAGGAGGATAAAATTAAAAAATATGATCTTCTAAAAATAAAATCGTTGTATGCACCAAAATTATTTTTCCAACTGAGTGAAAAGAAAGATCATAGACTGGGGTAAAAGTATTTGTCAGTTTCAACTAAGAGACTCATAATTAAAATATACAGAGTACTACAGTGCCTCCACCAGAAAAAGCCTGAGAATCTAATTATAAAATGGGCAAAAGATGTGGAAAAACATGTAGTAGCAATTACTTGTTCATGTAAATTATACCTCCATTTTTTTTCTTCCTCTTCATCTACTCTCCTTCTTTCTTCTCCACATTCTCTCCATAATCTTGCTTTCTCTCTCAGACATACATGGTTACACAAGCACTTCCTCCCTGTCTCACACACACGTATGTGCAGGTGTGCATGCACACACTCACACACACACACACACACACACACACACACACACATGCCATTAATATAGCTTACTCTTGTGGTTTTATTGCCTATCTCCTTCTCTCTTTGTGTTTACTATTGTTTAACTTCACATGAGAAAATATACAAATAGAGACACCACTGGAGAGAATAGATACTTCTACCAAAGGAGTTTTCCAGCCCAAGTAACCTGCCAATTCAGGACTCTCATACAGGAAGTACTCTCATACCCCTGAGGCATCCAAAGGAACCTGTAAAGTTAGCATTCATAGGAACTCCATAGGAAGTTATCAAAGGGAACTTGTGCTCACATTTTCAATGGGCAACTAAATCATATCCTCACTCCTTCTTTGCACTTGGTAACAAAAATCCTTGTTTATGAATGATCAAACTGACCACAAGTGAGTGACTCTCCTTCATTCTAAGTGGAAACTGGACATTCTCAAGTTTCACCATCACATAATATAACACGAGAAACAGAAGTCAAGTAGAAAGGAAGAGGTGACAAAAGCTCATTGGTGGAAGCTTTTGCAAGCCATTGCCCTTTCCTCCAAAAGAAAAATGGGAGCAAGGATTGGAGATGTGTCACAGAGCCCACTAAACATCCTCACATTGTTTCTTCATCACAATGAACTCGCCATTCCAGGGAAGTGCTTCTACCAAAAAGCTGCAAATTACTTTCTGAAAAGAGATAATGACAACAATAACAAAATTAATGTAGCAAGATAAAAGAAAACAGGTGTCTTGTTGCTTAGTTTCAGTTTAACAATGTGCTGGAAGGTGTTTTGTCAGGAATCCCTCAGGAATATACTAATCTGTATGTATCAGTCCTTCAGAGCCTTCATCAATATGATATGTAATTGTTCGTTTACTGATATAGATTTACAAAAACATTAGTTTTTTCATCAATCTATATAAAAATGAAAATATTTTTGTGGGAGACTAACTGTAAACTTTATTTTCAATTATCTTTGATATCTTTATAATATAAAAAAAACAATTGTTTGGTAGAAATAGGCAGTTGTCAGATATATGGTATTATATAACTTACTAATCTTTTTTGATCTGATACCAATTACACAAGAGCAAGGGCAAGTTAGAGGATTCTATGGTCCAAACATAGAAGGGCAAATTCCTTTCCCTTTCAAAGTTCCATTAAAATGACAAATGAAATAGTTTATGTGTGAGAGATAGGGAAACAGATTGTAAAAACTCCAAACCAGACAGACAGACACATAGAAGTACTGAGACAAAAGAGAAAGAACATCTCAAATAAACTAGAATCATTAAGGAATTTCCAAGACCACATATGTATGAATGTATGTATATCTAAGTGTCTGTACCTGTATTAATCTGTAAATATGGCTGTGTGTACATGTAATCATGTAAATACGTACATACATTTACATGTGTGTTGTGCATGTGTATCTGTGTCACGGGTGTATGTTTGTGTGCTCATATCCTTCAAATGATTCTTACGTCAAGGAGGCTTCTCCCTTGGTCATTCAGGTACTTTGTGGAATAAACCTCTGTCAGGCTCAAGGCCTGCAAGGGAAGAGAATACAAATATAGAACATTGTTGTACCTTGGGTAATTTTATACTCATAACAACCTAATATCTACTAAGACTCCCATAAAGTCAAGAAAGTAGCAATTCACAAGAGCCATTATGAAAAACAAGAACCCTTGTCCTAAAAAAAAAATAAAAAGGCCCAATGAATATCCCAGATAGAGAGAATCAGAAGAAATATGTTGATGTTATTTGATTAGCTACAGAAAAAATGCAAATTTGGGAAGAAACAATGAAAGTAAATAAGAGAGCAAATACTTCAGAGACAACAATCCAGAAGAAATAGACGGATGAGGAGACACTTGAACAGATACACAAAAGATGGAAGAAAAAACATTATAGAATAGACAAAGTTGTTGTTGTTATGTGCCTCTGTCCTGTGCCAATCGCACTGTCTGAAATTCCCATCCCAATTACCCCAGTCACTGAATCAATCCACCCCATAGAGTGCATTCCCCTCCTGTGCTGTCCCTCCACCCTGCCAAGCATGATGTCCCTCTCCAAGGACCTCTCCTTCCTTACAACGTGTCCAAAATATGTTAGACATAGCCTTAGAATCCTTGCCTCCAAGGAGCTGCCCGGTTTAACCCTCTCAAGGATGAATCTGTTTGTTTTCCTAGCAGTCCATGGTACCCTCCATACTCTTCTCCAGCACCACAGCTCAAAGACATTAATTCTCCTTCTATCCTATTTAGTCATTGTCCAACTCTCTGATGCATAACAAGTGATAGCAAAGAACATGGCCTGTATCAGACACACCTTAGTCTCCAGAGGG